AGTCTGAAAGGCTGAAATGCATTTTAGGTAGATGATTCAAGGTCAGGTTGCTCTAAATTTATCTTTGTTCATAAATCTCACCAACTTCTCCTTATTCAAAAACTGAATTAAGGATCTTGGTTCTTCCTAGAATGGTTATCACAAGCCAGCAGAGGGAGCCCACTATTTAAAAAAGAAGTGTTGTAATCAGAGAGTCTGTAACCAATGGCCTATTATTAAAATATTTTTTTATACCGTTCTTTTTCCTTAATATTTTTAATAATTTTCCTAATGATGGAGGTAAAATGTAAAAACTCTAGGGGGAAAAGGAAAACCTCTGAATTAGTTTTAGGTAACACTTTTTTCCTGAGGATTAGTTCTTTGTTGCATTAGGTAGCAGTGAATTTCATTATATATGGAATAATCATGCAAGTTCGAATGCTGCTTATTCAAAACACTATCTGGGTCTTTATTAAAAGTTAACCCAAAGACCAAATGCCCTCTGACACACCTAGACCTTTAATGCTTTTTATTTTGAAGTAACAATTAAAGAAGTGAAAAAATTTTGCACTGTTTGTCTACCTTTATATTTTAAAAATTTATTCCTCTGTTTATTAGTTTAACATTAAATTTAACTCACACAGTCTCCATTGAGAAATGCTAAAATTGACAGATTATTTTTTTTCACTGTGACTTTTTGTTACATGGAGGGATGAATATGATTTTTTGTTGCTTAGGGAGGAACCATCCACAGTTTCCCCTCCTTATCAACCCTAAGTAGTTATTGCACTCTTTCATACATTGATTACTTTATTTAGTAACCATTTGTTTAATGTTTATCACATGCCACTCACTATTATTGAGATAAAAGGGACAGTCCCTCCCCTTAGGAGCTTACATTCCAGTGAAGGAAACATATAACCCCAGACCTGGAAATCATTCTTGCCACTTACTTCCTTCTCTCATATTTCCAACATATAATTTATCACCAATTCCTATCCTTTCTGCTTCCAAAATAGATCTTGAATCCATTTCTTCTCTTTGTTTCCGTTTCCACCACCCTAATTAAAGCCATCAATCATCTTCTTTCTTGGACTACTGTAGTTACCTCTTAACTGACCTTTCAGCATTCATGTTTCCTCCTTCTAATAAGTCCTTCAGTTTGCCACCAGAATGATCTCCTAAAAATGTAGAGTTAATCATATAATTTTAAAAACTATTTGGAGATTTCCCATTGCTCTTAGGATAAAGAACAAAATCTTAACAGGGCTCCTAAAACCCTTCATGATCTAGCTCTTGCCTTATCTACCTGTCTCTCTAGCGTCATTTTGAAATACTTTCCTCCCTGCCACACTGGACTACTTCAGCTCTTTAAATGCATTATATTCCTTCCTGCTCTGTGCTCTTGCACGTACTCTTCCTTCTGACTGGAACCCTGTCATGTGCCATTATGCCCCTTAGTTTGTTGTAAATACCACTCCCACAGGGAGATCTTCCCAGGCTCACATTCCTGACCCTCAAATCTAAATTAGGTCTCCCTGGCCAGTTATCTCAAAGCATCCTATACCTTTCCTTCATGGCATTCATTGTAACTTACCACATATATCTGTGACTGTGAGCTTGATACCTGTCTCCCCTACTAGTTCCTGTGAAGGTGGGAGCCATGTCTGTTTTGTTCTCAGCTGTATTTCCAGCCTCTAGCATAGTGCCTAGTCCTGAGCCAATGCTCAAGAAATATTTGTTGAGTAAATGATTAGTGTTTGAAAATATGAAATAGTTGAAGTTATGCTAAGAATTCTATGCTGTGTAGATACCATTTTCCCTGTGTTGCAAACCCTTAGAAAATATTAACACTTTATAATTAAAATTCATCTGGCAAATTAGGTATATTTTCAATTTGTAAGCTATGATCAGCTCTCAGTGAAAATTCACTGTTAATTAGTAAATATATCTTAAAATGTTTCCCCTTTTTTCAGCGTCGAGGTCCTCAGCGATCAGTTGATGTAATAGTTTCATCTGCTTTCTTGTTGACTATCTCAGTTGTGTTTATCTGTTGTGCCCAGGTGAGTTGTTCCATGTAGAATTATACAATCAAATATATAAATACTAAGCTTCAGAAAGCTTTCTAGTAATTAGTAATCAAAGTAAGCTGAAGTTTTGAAATTCACTTTCTGTAGCTTACTTTTTTCAGTAGACTAAATAAATGCATCTTATTCATCTCTGTGCCATTAATAGTGGCTAGCATATGATCAGATGTCTGTTGAATGAACATATAGTAATTATTTTTATTTACTGTCCAACTAATTTCCTTTATTTTCAAAAACAAGCTTATGAGTGTCTAGAGATGCCATTGTTTCAGACTGTTTTCTATGAATCTCTGATTTATTCACATTTAATATCATATCTCTAAATTGTCACTATGACTTGACTGCTGTATGCTGTGAAAAAGAATTCTCAGTAACCAAGATTAATCAAGCAACACAAAAGTGTCGTAGGATTTGTAATATACTATAAAATATAATGCAGAATTGCATTTCAACTAGTATGACATTCTAGATAACCTGAAAACGCTTCTGCCTTGAAACACCAAACAGTTGAAGAATACATATTCTAAAATTGAAGAATACATATTCTTTTTAGGCACACGGACAGTTTATAAAAATTGCCTATGTACTAGGCCACAAACTAATCTCAACTAATACCAAATGTCTGACATCCTACAGACCATTTGATCTAGCTGTAATGCAGTCAAGGTAGAAGCCAGTAGCAACAAAGGTCATAAATTTTTAAAATAAAAAGAGTAATATTAAACTGTAAATAATGACATAATTGAAAATTTTTAAAAGGATACTAGTATGAATTACGTTCTGCCATTAAAGTTGAAAGCTTAGGTGAACAATTTTGTAGAAATACATACTTTATTAACACTGAGTCAAAAAAAAAAATGGAAAACCTGAGGAGACCTATAACCATAATACAGTACTTGATTCAGTAATTTAAAAATCTGCCACAAATAAAAACTCTCCAGACCCATGTGGTTTTACAGGTGAATTCTGCCAAATATTCAAATAAACAGATAATCCTAATCTTACATAG